GGCGAGGGGGCTGGCTGGCTGTACAGGGGAGTGAGAGGGTTCGTCTGTCTGCCAAATGCGCAACATTGTGGGCGGAGGCGGCAACAGCGACTGAACCATAAAGGGGGGGTGCCTGCTGGTCGACTATGCTGGTCCATTCTACCTGTTTAAAGCTGCCAGGAGCGGAGGGACTGATTGTACGTCTATCTGATTGGAGTCGTGCCCGTACTGCCAAGTCACAGAAGTCAGAGAGGTCAAGCTACGCACCAGACTACGTGGGGAGGTCGTATAGGACTGCTACTACGTGCTAAACTCACGCGGCAGAGGCCCCGCTTGCTCAGCATCTGCATACTTGTTGATTTAAGGACGCGAGGTGGACGCGGTAGTTGGTGGCAGGGCCGCGGACTGTGTTTTCGGCATGTGTGGGTGAGCAACTAGTGAGGGGCAAAGTTGTCGGTTGGACGGCGCTGCTGCGGACTGGGTGCAGACTGCATCTGTGGGCTGTGTGTGAGCTACCGCGGGCTGTTGGGGTGTCGCTACCGCTTGTTGTTGACTACGGTGTATTACGGCGCCACAACCGACTGGTTGCGGACTATTGCAGCCTGCAGTGCGGCGGCGTTTCGACTTGAAAGGAAGGGGGCAAAGTCGGGGAAGGAAGGTGGATGCTGCAAGTTGAGGTGTCAGTAGGGGGGTTGGCTTCGGCAGTCTAACTTTAGAGTTTGATCAAGCTGCTATAGATTGGCCACCATTGCGGGGGCCCTCAGGCGAGTCAAGATTTCAAGACCCTCTCACGCGAGTCTGTGTGCACCACTCTTGGATCTGAGAGACTTAAATTTTCTCCTTCTGCCCTTCTCACTCTAAGTCTAGTCTACTGGTTCTAAAAGGAAGGTGGCAGGCGGGATTGCAACCCGTTATCCGCGCCAAGGCCCTTGTGGGAGGTTCGCCCCACCGATTGCGGGAGCTCTACCGGAACTCAGGAGGAGTTATGGAGGCAGGGAATTGATAGGTAACTATTGCTTTCCCTCTATATACCCTGGTATAACCCCTATCTATACATCTTGCTATGTACCTGACTGAGTGTATTGCGTGCCTCCTGTACTTGACTTTGGGTTTGACTTTCAGGATATAACCCAGACTTAGTAAAGGAATATACGTGTAATGACAGTTTTAGTTTTTTGATTGACTGAAGGCAGACTTGCTCAGGAAAGGGGGTTGCATCTGGGGGAAGGGTGGGAGGAAGGTGGTTTTGCCTGAGAATGACAAGGTCCTATGGGGTCAGGCATGTTCCATAAGATTGGATGGCCTGATCGTTGTGTTTTATTTTGTTTTTTTTAAAAGGCCAAGCTTTGTTTCTAAGATGAATGTATTGGTTGTTGTGTTTATTTAATTTCGCTAGACTCTGTTTCTAAGATGAACGACCTGGCTACTTATTTCGTGGGGTTTGCCTGTGCAAGTTTGAGGACCAGACTTTGTTTCTAAGATGAATGGTCTTGATGTTGTTTATTTCTGGGTGGTTTATGAACAACATCTGGGTCCAACTCAGAGTGCTTTGTTTTCTTTAGTGCTGAGAAGAGAGGGTTGGACTTTGTTTCTAAGATAAATGGCCCAACTCTTTCTCTTGTTTTATTCTGAGGGAGTAATTTTTGCAGAGGACAAAGCATGTTCCATAAGACTGGATGACTTTGGACTCATGCCGCACATAGATGGTTCAGAGAGAAACAAACTTGGCAAGGGACCAGATATGTTTCATAAGATTGAATGGTCTGGCCCACTGCCTCACATATGTTGGAACCCGAGAGGTTATATATTGGCTATATTTTATATTATTCAATCTATGAACAGGATAGTCAAGCACGGGTTCCATAAGATTGGATGGCCTGACTATAGCTTATCACAACTTGAAGAGAGTATAACTAAGAATATAACTGAAGGTAACTTGGGCAGGCTGAGCTTTGTTTCTAAGATGAATGGCTCAGCCTTACGCCCAACTTTTGAACATTAGGTCTGAGAGATATATATAACTTCAATATTAAACAGCTCAGGGCGACTAAGCTTTCTTTCTGAGATGAATGGCTTAGTCATATGCCCAAAGGAAGAGAAAAGTAGTTGTACAACATGTTCGTGTATATTCGATGGCTGGGTCAGGCATGTTTCATAAGATTGAATGACCTGACTTTATGCCCTATGTAAGCTGGGTATAAAGGG